TGTCCTTACAATTTTGTTTCGTCTATCATCCATCTAGCTTTTCTGTTTATTACAGGAATTGTGTTTTTTCATTGTTTGTTAGTAATATCTATGTTTTCAATCCACAGTTCCTACAGTTCATGATCAAATGAGTTTAGTAATGCAAATCTGTTCTTTTGCTGGGGAGGCAATGTGTAGCCTGTATAATTAAAAAATTGTAAACCGCCCGGAGAGTGCTTGTAGCGCTATGGGGCGGTATATAAGTCCAATAAATAAATAAATAAATAAAAATAAAATTCATCAGGAGTGCTGCTTAAAATATATTTTGGCTGTAAGATTCTTTTAGTGTTCTTTTCAGCTTTACTCTAATATTGCATATTAATAGTTCATGCTCAGTAGCACAGCCCTTTCCTCATCTTGTTTTGTGTGAGGAAAATGTAGTTTCTCCATCTCCTGCTTCCAATTACAGTATTTTAATATTGGCCATCTGGGGATTCTGCAGTTTTCAGTTTGGTTGCTTAAATTTTGGCTGTAAGATTCTTTTAGTGTTCTTTTCAGCTTTACTCTAATATTGCATATTAATAGTTCATGCTCAGTAGCACAGCCCTTTCCTCATCTTGTTTTGTGTGAGGAAAATGTAGTTTCTCCATCTCCTGCTTCCAATTACAGTATTTTAATATTGGCCATCTGGGGATTCTGCAGTTTTCAGTTTGGTTGCTTAAAGCATATATTTGTAATAAACATATTGATGGCTTTGCAGAACTCTGAGTCATTCTTCTTCTTTGTCTTTGCCCCCTAGACCAAATTTACCACAACATTTGGTTCTGCTTTGTTTCCTACTTTTGCTTTCAAGTTGCCTATGATTATATGTTGCCTATGAATGGGCTTGTCTGGGTGTGGTGTGTGATCAATCTCCTCCTGGATGCTTGCATAAAAGCTTTCAATTCCATCTAGACATGAACAATGGTTATGTTGGTAGGTTTTGCATGGTGTCTGACTGATCTTATTTGGCCAGATCTTGCATTATAGCCCCTAGCTGCCCGTGCTACATCTTATTCAGTATTAGAGCCACTCAATTTCTTCTGATTTTGTCATTTCCACAATAGAACATTTTGTAGTTATCTGACTGAAAATATCCAATTCCAGTCCGCTTCAATTCACTGACATCGAACACTGCAATGTTTATATGTTCAATTTCTTGATTTATGATTTCCAGTTTACCATGATGCATGTTTCACATGTTCCATTTCCAATTGTATATGTTGTGCAGCACTTTCCTTTAAGTTCTGTGAATATCAGCCAGAAGATGTCCTTTAATCTAGTTGTGCTATTAGTGACAACACTATTTATATTTGTCCTCTGCTCTTCCCCAGTAGCTGATAAAGTGCTTTCTGACCTGGGAGTGTCATATTCCAGCATTATCTCTTGTTTCATTTTGAGCTGTCTCATCATAGGGTTTTCATGGTAAGGGAAGCTGAGTAGTGGTTTACCATTGCCACTTTCTGCACAGTACCAACAAAAGTTAGCTTGAATGTCACCACCGCTACCTTTTTTTGCCAGCGATACTATCAGCTATTGCTGTTGCCCATTAACTGCTGTACCGTTGCAAATGGAACTATCCATTCTCGTCTGCTGATGTGGTCATTACTCTTCGAGGGGGATGGATGCATCTCTATCTGGAGTCTCAGCTGTGACCATTTTGCCTTGGATGGCCCTGCAAGGAGTCCAGGCTGGTAATGGAGTCTGGTCTCCTGATGGCATTGCTCTTAGCTTTGCTGCCACCATCAGGCTCCTTCACCATGTTAAGGTGGGCATCCAAGAAGGGACGTAGAAAAAGCGGTAATCAGAAAAAAGATTGTGTTTTAAGAAGGAAAAGAAAGAAAATAATAAGTAGCAGTGATAGTATCTGACAATCATATATATTTCTGTAGTGCCACCTTTGTAGTGTGAAATGAGATAGGAAAGGAAGAAGTATGTGGAACGAGCTTCAGTCATCTAGTCTTGTTTTATTGTTGTATGCCATCAAATCACATCTGATTTAAAGTGACATAATAGGTTTTGAAAAATGTGTGAGATATTTCAGAACTATTGTTGCAAGTGCTGTTTCCCCCAGTGAGTTTCCATGGGCAAGTGGTGTTGCAACCCATGTCTCCTGAATCCACTGGTGCTCTTCAGCCGTGCTAATCAGCACAATATAGCAGGGATGTTGGCAAGTCTCTGGGTCCAAGTCCCGACTCTGAGTCCAAATGTTTGGTACCAAGTCCTGAGTCCCAAATGCCAAGTCTGAGTCCTTATTAAAAACAAGTGTTCCCCCCCCCAAGAAAAAAAGAAGGGGGTGGATGAGTTCTGAGTCACAAGTCAAGTCAGAGTGATTAAAACCCCCACACAGACACACATTGAGTCTGAGTTAAGTTACCCGTGCGACTTACGCCTGACTTGACAGTGAGTCTCCTTCCCTGCAAAATAAACATATAAGTACAGTGGTG